TATCAATAATTACAAATGTTAAATGGACTAAATGCTCCAACCAGAAGACATGATGCAACTAAATGGATTAAAAAACAACAACAAAAACACAACAAGACCCATTAATATTCTGTTTACAAGAGACCCACTTCAGATTGTAAGACACACAGACTAAGTAAAGGGAAGGGGAAAAAAAAGCTGGGTAACAATACTTATATCAGACAAAACAGACTTTAAAACAATGGCTTTAACAAGAAAAAATGAAGGACATTTCAAAGTGATAAAGGGATCAATCCATCAAGAGGATATAAACATCTATGCACCCAACATAGGAGCAAGATTGACAGCAATGGATAGATTGTCCAGACAGAAAATCAACAAGGAAACAATGGCCTTAGAGCCTATGGACTTAATTTATATTTTTACAACATTTTACCCTAAAGCAGCAGGGTATACATTCTTCTTAAGTGCACATGGAACATTTTCCAGGATAGACCACATGTTAGGCCACAAAACAAGTCTCAGTGTTTAAAAAAATGAAATATTACGATTCTTCTTTTATCACAATGATATGAAACTAGAAATCAATTACTATTAGGAAACTGAAAAATACACAAACATGTTGAGGCTTTATAATGTGCTACTAAACAATGAATGGGTTAACAATAATATCAAGGAAGAAATCAAAAGATATCTTGAGACAAATGAAAACACAATGACCAAAAATCTGTGGGACACAGTCAGAGCAGTTCTAACTGGGAAATTTATAGGAATACAAGCCTACCTCAAGAAACAAGAAAAATCTGAAATAATCTCACCTTCAACCTAAAGGAACTAGAAGGGGAATAAGCAAGGCCAACGTGAGGAAAAGTAAGGAAATAATAAAGATTAGAGCAGAAAGAAAAGCAAAGCAAAATTGATAAACCTTTATTTAGCCAGATTCTTCAAGACAGAAGAGAGCAGGCCCAAATAAAATCAGAAAAGTGATACTATATTTAGAGATTCCACCAAAAAACTATTAGAACTAATAAATGAATCAGGTCAAGTAGCAGTATACCAAATAAATATTCAGAAGTCAGTTGCATTTTTATACATCAATAACACACTATCAGAAACAGATATTAAGAAGACAGTCCCATTTACAATTGTGTCAAAAACAATACCTAGGAATAAACTTAAGGAGGTAAAAGACCTGTACTCAAAAAACTGTAAGACATTAAAGAATGAAACTGAGTAAGATGCAAATAAGTGGGAGGATATATACCATGTTTGTGGATAGGAATAATTGACATGGTCAGAACGTCCATACTGCCCAAAGCAATCTACAGACTCGTTGCAATCCCTGTGAAAATACCAATGGCATGTTTCACACAACTAGAACAAATAAAATTAATAAAACTTATATGGAACCACAGAAGTCCCCAGCTAGCCAAAGCAATCTTATGAAAGAAAAATTTGAAGGTATCATGCTAGCTGATGTCAAACTATACTACAAGGTTATAAGTAATCAAAATAGTGTGGTACTAGCATAAAAACAGACACAGATCAATAGAGCGGAATAGAGAGCCCAGAAATAAACTTGCATCTATGTGGTTAATTTATGACAAAGGAGGCAAGAATATACAATGGGGAAATGACAGTCTCTTCAATAAATGGTGTTGGGAAAGCTGGACAGATACATTCAAAAGAATGAAACTGCATCATTTTCCTAAACCATAAAACTCCTAGAAGAAAACATAGGCAGTAAACTTTTTGACATCGTTCTTATTAATATTTTTTTTTTGGATACGTCTCCTCAGGCAAGGGAAACGAAAAAAAATAAACAAATGGGATTACATCAAACTAAAGAGTTTTTTGCACACCAAAGGGAACCATCAACATAACAGACAACCTACTGAATGGGAGAATATATTTGCCAATAATACATTAAATAAATCATTAATATCCAAAATATGTAAGGAACTCCTACAGCCTAACTCCAAGAAAACAAAGAATCTGCTTTGAAAATAGGTAGAGGATCTGAATAGACATTTCTCCAAAGAGGACATAGGGGTGACCAATAGGCATATGAAAAGATATTCAACGTCAAATCAAAACCATATTCTGTTTATCACCTCAAACCTGTCAGAATGGCTATCATCAATAAATCAACAGACAAGGATTGGTGACGATGTGGAGAGAAGGGAACCTTACAGTGCACTGTTGATAGAATTGCATATTGGCACAGCCTCTATGGAAAATAGTATGGCGGTTCCTCAAAAATTTAAACATAGCACTATTATATGACCCTGCAGTCCCACATCTGGGTATTTATACCAGGAAATCCTAATCACTAATTCTAAGAGAGAGATGCACCCTAATATTCATTGCAGCACTATGGACAATAGCCAAGATATAGAAGCAACCTAAGTGTTCATTGGTAGAAGTGGTACATATAGACAATGGAGTATTACCCAGCCATAAAAAAAATGAAACCTTGCCATTTGAAACAACATGAATAGACATAAAAGGTATTATGTCACACTGAGAAAGACAAATATCATTTGATTTCACTTATGTATGTAACCTAAAAACAAAACAAACAGTCATAAATACATACAGAGAACAAATTGACGGTTGCCAGATTGGGGGGGGGAGGGGAGTTGAAAAAGGTGAAAGGATTAAATACAAATTGCCAGTTATAAAAACAGTCACAGGGAAGGGAATATAATCAGTACTATTTTTATAACTATGCGTGGTGTCAAAATGGTACTGCACTTACTGGGGTGGTCACTTTGTAAGATATACAAATGTCTAATCACTATGTTGTGCACCTGAAACTAATATAATGTATGTCTACTGAAATGGATTTTTTTTTTTTAATTTCAAGATCCATTCAAAGTACAGGATCAACCAATGGATTTCAGTATAGCAGGGTATGAAAAGTTCAGTGCTATGGTTTGATTCCACATTATAACTAAGCTTTAAGAAAACTACCACTTGGCCAGTTTGGGTATAGTAACAAACAGCATCCACAAGGGTCTAGAAAGGCTATTAAAATACTCTTCCCTTTTTCAACTACATATTGGTGTGAGGCTGGATTATCTTTATAAACTACTCAAGGAAAACAGCAGAAGCAGGTATGAGAATCCAGCCATCTTCTATTAAGCAAGACATTAAAAACTTACAAAATACAAAGCAGTGCCAATCTTCTCAAATTTTTCTTTTGTTTTGGTATAAACTGTAGTTTTTTATGAAGATTTTATTTATATTAGCATGTAATGGGTTTATTTTATGTTTAATGAATTAGTAAATGAATATTTCTCAGTTTTAATTTCTAAGGCAGTATAATAAATATAACCTAAACATGTTTTGTTTTTAAATATATTTTAATAGTACTTTAACATTATCAAAATGTTTAAAATATATATTTTTCTATTTTAATTTCTAAGAGAAGTTAGTACAATAAATGTAACCCACATAAACATAAGCATTTGAAGTCCTTGATGACGTTTAAGACTGTAAAGGGGATCCCAAGACCAAAAAGTTTGAGAAATGCTGCTTTAAGGTCTCTGCTTCCTGTTCTGTAGATTTCAGAATCATTTGCATGTTGCCGCCACCGTGAGAGAGACAGGACTCAGCTCTGGTGAAAAGAGAATGAGCCTGGTAGACGGGGAAAGGGCTGAAGCAGAGCCAGGCACCCTGGCCGGTGTAGCTGCAGGACGCACTGGGGACATAGGGTGGGATGTGACGTGCCCACAATAACCACTGGTTTGGTCACCCACTCTCACTGTAAATTCTCACTTCCATTACTCTTCACAAAAAGGATTTTATATTTTTATTTCTATTTGGTTTAACCACTACTGGGCATTTTGTGTGTGTTTTTCTAATCGTTGTAGCCTCATGGCCAAATTCCTGAAGGAGCTTTCAGATGCACTGATGTGCTTCACACTTGCCAGTCTGACCTTTTGTCACCTGCAGCAGTAATTTGTCCTCAGATGGTTGTCAGTCGCCTATTAATTACACAGATTGTCTCTGCGCCCATTCAGTGGGTTGAGTAAGTTACATTGTTGGCAGTAGCTGAGCAGGAGAGAAGGGAAGGTTTAGGGAGACTGATAAACAGTGATACTAGAATGAGAAAA